CAGCCGCCCTTCTCGACCCCCACCCCCCCAAAACCCTCTCCCCCCCTCCCAGGTCCTGAAGGGCGTGTCGCTGCGCGTCGAGTCGGGCAAGTCCCTGGCCATCGTGGGGGGCAGCGGCAGCGGCAAGTCCACAGTGCTGAAGCTCGTGACGCGGCTCTACGACCCCGCAGCAGGGGAAATACGGGTGGGCAGGCGGGGCCCGCAGGTGGCAGGGGTGGAGATGGGACACATGATGAGCGGGCCTCGTGGCCTTGCCGGGAGCAGGAAGCCAGGGCTGAGTATGGCGCCTGTGTCTTGTGTTGTGCAAGAAGGGGCGGGAGGCGGGCGCAAGCGAGGGGCGTCGTGATTGATTGTTGGCTGCCTCTGCGACGTGCCCTCGTGTTCCCCAGATCAACGGGGAGAGCGTGAAGGACCTGCGGCGCGAGGCGCTGCGGTCGGCCGTTGCCGTCGTGCCACAGGTGATCCAGGGTGATGCCCAAACTGTTGTTGTTGGAGGGGCCGGGGATCTGTCTTCGGCACTGCGGCCAGCGACCATAGCCGGCTGACGCTACACCACACACTGCCACAAACACACCTCAACACCGGTCAACCCCAACCACGTTACTTCAACCGTGCCGCCTTGCGTTCGAGCTCTGCGTACTTTGCAGGGCCGGGCCCCCCTTGCGAGTGTCGGCTGGACGATCTCACCTGTTCAAATCGTCTCCCCCCCTCCCCCCCCTCCCCCAGGACACCGTGCTGTTCAACGACACCATCCTGCAGAACATCAGGTACGGCCGCCCTGAGGCCAGCGACGACGACGTCATGGAGGCAGCACGCATGGCACACCTGCACGGTTGGCTGGGGGCCGGGGGGTGAGGGGTTGCGGGGGCCGTTTGCATTTGCGCCCTGTGCGTCTGGCCTTGATCAGGCGGGTGATCACCTGTGTGAGATGTGTTTGCCAGGGATGCGAGCGTTGCTGATGCACTCTTGCTCAACCTGTTCCCACGCTGTCTGTGTTGGATCCTTGTCGAGCCATTTCCCTCTTCTCATTGCACACACACACACACACACGCAGAGGCTGTTCTGCGCATGCCTGATGGTTACGCCACCCCTGTGGGAGAGCGCGGCCTGAAGCTTAGTGGTGGGGAGAAGCAGCGCGTTGCCATAGCACGGTGCGCACGGGGCTGGGAGTTGGTGGGGGAATGTTCAAATGTTTCTTGTCAGTGGGACTCCGTGTGCCATGCGTGCGCTGCTCCTTCGGTCACGTCCCCAGTGGGCGTCATCCACTGCAGCTCGTCCCCGCGCCAGCTGGCCCCCCAGCTCCCATCCCTCCCTCCGCTACCACACATTGCACCTGGGCCCGTTCCACCGATCTGCTGCCATGCCCGGAAGCCATATCATCCCACGCGCCTCCGCCCACGCACCCCAGTGCGTTCCTGCGCAACCCGCGGCTGCTGGTGTGTGACGAGGCCACGAGTGCGCTGGACAGCGCCACTGAGGCCTCCATCATGGCATCACTTGGGGAGCTGGCACAGGTGCGGGGGGGGGAGGGGGGGCCAGGGACCGCAGGCACAGCATGTGATCGTGCATGGTTGCGTTCCGGCATGAGGGTTGCGGCATGGTTTTAGGGGCGCGCAGTCCAAGTTATGCAGTCCAGCGAGGAAGGCCAAGGAGTGCCAGGGGCCCCTGGTGGGTCTTCTGCCGGCAACACGCTTCACACTCTACCCCCTTATTCCCCCCCTGCCTCCCCTCACCCTCCACCCCCCCCCTCGTTCACACACCGCAACCCCTGTCGGGGAGGGTGGTCACCCTTTTTCCTATGCGTGCACACTCTCAGGCCTGCACACAACCTTACACTCATGCTCTTTGCACCCTCCTACCAGGGCCGTACGTCCATTTTTGTGGCGCACCGGCTGTCCACTATTCGCGCCTGCGACCGGATCGTGGTGCGCTTATGGGACACCACAGTAGTGGCCATGCCGCGACGCCAGGTCTTGGTTGCAGGTGCCTGCAGCTAGGGCGGCCGCAGGGTCGCAGCAGCCGCTCAGTCTGAATATGCACCAAGCTGCTCAACCCCACCACACCCACCCCTGTCATCCCCCATGTGGTCCAGGTGCTGAGTGACGGGCTGGTGGCCGAGGAGGGCACCCACGAGGAGCTCATGGCGGCGGGGGGCGTCTACAAGTCCATGTGAGCCGCAAGGGGGGGTCACGCCACGTGGCTGTCGGTGGGGCCGCGGGGTTTGAGGGGGGAGGCAGCAGCAGCAACGGGGGTCGTGGAGCTGGCACACGCACGAGGTAGCGTGGGCAGCCACGTCCTTCACGCTCCGCAAGCTTAGCCATCCCCAGCTACGGCCGCCCTTCCTCACCCAACTGGACACTGCACCCTGGTCCCTGTCGAACCGCGATTGATGCCAGGTGGGACCGGCAGGCCAACGCCGCGCGTAAAGGCGGGGCCACGCGCGGGCAGCACGCCGACGACGGCAGCGACAGCGAGGAGGGGGGTGAGCTGGAGGGCGACAGCACGGCCGGCGTGGTGGAGCCGCTCCCGGCCATCAGCGGCAGCGCCCTGAGGAACACCATGATGACAGCGCCGTGACCACCGCACAGGGCCCCCGCTGGCTGCAACGTGATGTTTCACCTGTCTCGTTGCCTGTTTTGTGTGGCCTCCCCCCTGGGTACCATGTGCAATTCTCGCAATGTGCATCCCTGCCGGTAATCACTCCGTGCCCTTTCTTATGCGGTTGTTTGCTGACAATGCAACGGCCTTTGCTTTGTTGTGTTCATGATGCGCCCCAGGGGACTTTTGTCCCATATTCTTTGGTTTTGTGACGCAGCACCTGGGCTGCAGTGGAGCGCTGTGCATCAGGCCCAGACGAATCTGTTGGGCGGATGCAGTGTTTTCATGAAGCGCCTGGTTCGCCCTGAAACATGAGCTCCTGCTCATTGTCATGTCTCGTTCTTATCCCAGCAGGGTCCTGCTTGGCACACCTGGTGTTTGCGTGCTGAAAACCAACCATGTCAGGCGTTCTGGAGAAGGACGGCCCGCGTTGCTACAAGAGGGATGTGCGATGTGCCATGGTGTAACCGCCCGCTGGCAATGCCGTGGGGGGATGTCTGATCCAAGACCAGATGGGCAGGCGGCTATGAACGTGTGCAGACGGGGGCGCCGATGGCTGCACAAGGTCACTGGGGACGGGGTGGGGAATCTCTGATGACGAAGTTCAAGTGCGTGGCAAGAGGCTTCAGGAGCATCAGGGCTGTGGGCTCCACTGCCACCTCCTGCCTTGCTGCAGTGGTGGACTGTATAGTGTGAACTCTGTTTTGCTGAGGTTTGCATGTAATGCTGTGTCCTTCACATTACAGCTGCCCTGCAGTGGACACAAAGATATTGCATGAGGCTTCTCTCAGTCTAAAGGCACATCTAGATCTACAGACAGGTGAGGTGCGCTCACCCAAACTGCTCAAGTGTTGCTGTCCGCATCCGAGAAGCTGAGTGGGTGGTGGTAAGTCAGTGTCTGCCGCGATAACAAAACGACGGATGTGTTGGCCGTGGATGTGCAGTGGTCAATGAACGAGGCTGCAGAAGAAGACATGACATTACCCGTGTAATGCTAATCTGTCCAGTTTGGCAGTTGTTTGCGTACCTGCTTGGACAGGTGGCTGCTTGATTGAGGCCCATTGAGTTATGCTTTCCCAGTTGTCGATACTTTACGATGGTGTGCGCGCTAGTCTTATAGGAGCAGCTAAGTTTCTCCAGGGCCATGTGGATACAAGACCGTGTTGCAAGGACAGTAGCGACGGTTTGCTGGCATTTTTCAGCTGGCGCTTTTCCAATCATGAACCCAGGGTCAGCTTGTTGAGCACCGCAGCCTGAGCATAATAATTCTCTAATATTCCACAAATCGCACAAAGGGGCTGGGGCGAGTCGTGTTCACAACGATCACCAGTTCTTCTGTAGTGAGAGCAGCGTGTCCGGGTGTGTGGTGGTGAGGCACTATGATGGCTTTCTAAATGTCTCAGATTCCGCGGAGTTTCTTACTTTGAATGCCTTGATGCAGTGCTTGCTGCACACACCGCAGTATCGAGCAGCCCACGATCTTCCTGCCGCACGGTGTGTCTCGATGTTGTCGGTGCTTTTGGAAACAGTTGTGTGTGTAAGCGCAATATTGTATTGCAGCTCTTCCGTGCATCTGCCTCTCGACCACTCGAGGCAAAGCCCAAGGCCGCCTGCTTGAGCTTCTGGAGATTGCGGGCCAGTGTAGATGCGTTCACAATATTTATAGGGACCTATCAGCCATTGCATCTCAGCTGCCAGCGCCACGTGCCAGCACCGCTACCGCGGCGCAATCGCCTGGGCCGCGCATTCCCTGCGGCGGCTAAGCCACACGCGCACAACGCGTAGCCATGGCGCCGCAGTTCAAGGGCGGCGTGCCCGGCGGCTCGGGGCGAAATATGATGCGGCTGAAGGGGCGCGTGTTGCCACTGCGGACGGCGGCCCTTGCTGTTGGCGCTGCTGCAGCTGTGGGCGGCGTGGGCGCCCTGCACCACCACCACCGCACGGCGCGCCTGCAGCACAGCCAGCATGGGCCGGCCTTCCTGCTGCCGCGCGGACTGGCGGAGGTCATCTGCGGCGCTGTCGGGGAGATTGTGCAGGTGCGTGAGGGGTGCGCTGAGGCGGGAGGATGGTAGCGGGGCTGGTGGGGTCCTGGGCCCTGCGTTGAGCATGTGCAGGGGGAGCTGACCGCCCCACCGCCAGCCAGGACCGCGCTTGACATGCGAGCAGCGTGGGGCGGCATCCTGTGTCCATTATTTGCAGCCCTGGTGCTTTGAAACTGCCCCTTTGCCTGCATGCAGCTCCCCTGAAGGCGCCAGATGCAGATATCACTTGTGGCCATTTCGATTCACTGCTGTTGACAGTGGTACTCCTCACAGACGGCCGCCTCAATCCCTGCACACGCACATGCACACCAACGTGCATGTGCCTGCACGCACGCAGCACGCACTCACACACATGC